GCCGGATGAGTGAAGCAGCAAGGGGCGGGGGAAGGATCGAGAGGACGAGTGGGGGGGTCCGGAGAGAATCTCCCCTCTTTCTCTCAACCCCCACCTTCCCACTTTCAGGAGTAATCGCGAGTAATGAAGGCGAGGGAGCGCCGTGTTTGTTCTCCATTAATGGTTCGGGGAAGGAAATCTCGAGGCATTCCAGGTCTTGCATTAAGAGATGCAAACTCTGGGAGGGAAAGGGCCGGGCAACCGTCTGAATTGTCCTGGGAGGCAGAGTTGGATTGCCGGGCTTGGGTGTGCGCAGGAGGGAGGATTGTTTTTTTAAGTGAGCATAAAGGGGAGTGGGGAGGGGGAGAAAGCCAACAGGGTGTGTAAGGTGCCCTTCCCTTTGGGGATGTAACTTTTGCGTACACGTTACCTTTTGAAAAAGGACCACTACTCCCCTTCCACCACCACCTCCGCACACACGAAGTATTTAGGTAACATAAAGCGCCGAGGAACTTAAAAGGAAGTGTGAGTTATATAGACCTATATAGGCCCCGATTCCGCAAGCACGTGGGTGAAAATGTCGTGATTATTTTAACCGTATACCCTGTTTCCCCGAAAATAAGGCCTAACCTGAAAATAAGCCCTAGCAGGATTTTTCAGGATGCTCGTAATATAAGCCGTACTCGAAAAATAAGCCCTAGTTAAGTGAAACCCTGCCCTCCACCATTGTGCAGCAATCAGAAGATGACATGACTGTATTTGAATAAATGTAGATGGTTGTACATGAAAAAAAAATTAAACCCTGAAAATAAGCCCTAATGCATTTTTGGATCAAAAATTAATATAAGACCCTGTCTTATTTTCGGGGAAACAGGGTAGCTTCCTAGTCAGGCTGCAATGTCACCCTGGCCATACACATAAACTCGGTCTGTACTGTGGAAGGGTAAGGAGGTGTACAGTATGTTTAGGAGTCCCAGAAATTTGGGGGTCGATACGGTTTGCCGGTGGAGGGTGAGCCGCACCGTACGATGCTGCTCTGTTGCAGTCCAATTGGGAGAAAGGCGGGCTATAAGTGGACATTAAATAAACGGCACACGTGCATCTGGCAATACAGACTCCAGTTGTGACCGATATATTCTATGAATAGGAAATTTCCCTTGTAGTGTGAGCGAAGATGCTGCGGTCCTGATTCACGGCTGGATCTCCCCCGCATCTCTTTTGCACACATACTGTATGTTCAATTACAGCGCTTGGAATATCCCTTTAATAATGCCGCTGGAGCTCGGAAGCCTACTCGTCTCTTTTGCTCGCAAAAGAGGATGCTTGAAGAGTATGGCATTACTGTATTTGGGTTTTTTGCTAAAGGCAGATTCACGAGGCTGGGACTGACATGACACCACAGAGACGGCGAGGTTGGGGGGAGGGGGAACCTGAGGTGCCAGCTGCCTCTCACCCCGGGAGGCTTCCCCGGGAGCGGCTGCGCACGTGGTTGCTTTTCCTTGGGAATGTGCGGGAGGGACTCCGGGTTCGATCAAGAGGAAGGAGCGGCGAGCGGGCGCGCTTCCCTCCCTCCCTCCCGCTGCCAGACGAGAGCCCGAGCGGATCCGCTGAGACAGACTGACTGGAAGCTATTTTTACCCACACGTGGAGGAGCACATTTCACGGCGAGATCGATGCCTACGCAGAAAGGCTGGGAAACCTCGAGCCGTGGATGGCCGCACGTGGAAAACGTCTTCGGTGCAGCGACGGTGAATGAAAGCGCTTTCAAAAATTCATGAATGAGCGAGAGGCGTCGAGCGCTTTTCTCAATGGAAGGCTTCATAGCTCCGCGAAGACGCGGCCGGCCTCGGAGCCCGAAGCCCCTCCAAGCGGTCGGGATTCCAAAGGGCCCGAGGGCAGGGCGAAGGCTTCCTTTAAATTAAAAAAAAAAGGTTCAGCCCCGTGCATGATTTTCAAAGCCACTGTTGTCTCCTGGAAAACGTTATTGTACCACGGGAGACGTGCGTTTGTGCATGTGCAGAGTTCCTTCCAAAACGCTGCATGTGCGATTTGGGAGTCGGTGTTCAGCTTGGCAGGTGAGGAGGCGGAGGGGGGGGAAGGACCGAGCTCCGATGACACCGCTTCTCAGGCCTGCGGGCGCAGCGCCCCCAGGAGGAGACGGGGCTGCTCCGAGGGAGCCCCCTGGAATTCGAGGCCTGGAGGGGGGGTGAGAAGGGCTCCCCAGTGCCGTGCCCTCCTTCCTGACTGCGGAGGGGAGGAGGCCCCCCGCCTCGAACGAGGAGGAGGAGGCAAGCGAAGGAGCATCCTCTCCGAAACCCCTGGCCTCAATATCCGTCCCTTTCTCGCGTGTAGGGGTGTCTGAATCGGTTGCGCGGCGCAGTTTGGAGCCGGTGCCTCACTCCGGATTTCACTTGGAGGGACACCGCTCGCTCGCTTCCTTCCC